TAGACTGGGACTTAGCCGTTGATACACTGTTGGATATAATAAAAACATGGCGGAAAATTGAGACCGCCCAGATCAAAGGTGCCGACAGAGAGTGCAACTACTGGTTATACTGTGGCAGCACTCTGTGAGGCTGGATGCACATGGAGCGTAAAGGTACCATTTCATGCGCAGCATACTGCCGCAGCAACTCGCTGCTATTGGTTGAAGAATTGTTACTAGATGCTGCAAAATAAATTTCACCATATTTTGCTTCATCGCTGTGAAGTTCAATTGAACGAACAGCAAAGCAGCAGACACGCGATCTAGCCGGCCAGTGCTGCTGCAGCTATTCCTTTTCCGTGAGCAGCAAATATGCTGTAGTGAATTTGGATCACGTGACTAATTTGCTGCTGCTGCATGCTGCGTATGAAAAGGCACCTTTCTTGCGTAAGCGTAACCTGCGTATCACCAATCACAGAACTATTTCAACGGAATTATTGAAACGGTTCTATCAGAATGACCCTGTGATTGGTGATACGCAGGTTACGCTACGCAAGTTACGCTTCATGTGAATCCAGCCTGACATTGTCGGCACACGCGTTTCATGTGTGCGATCGCGATGTGTGTGTGATATGCGCGCGTGTGTGCGCATGCATTTAATTTATATGCGATACACGGAGATCTCGCTGCTCGCTGGACCTTGCTCGACTTGCTCTCCCTTGCGAGCAGAGTTCTCTCAATCACGATAGCTGCGCGACGAGTTACCGTATCAATATATAACGGATAAGGCTTATAATGCCGTTGCAGGTTCATGACGTGCAGGTAATTATTCCCGTTAAGATCGGGCGCGGGCTGTTTCTCCGTGGAATTGCGCGGTGAGAAAAAGAGAACTGTCGATAGGAGGTTATCCGGAGCAGTTGATGCTCGCTCGCTCGCTCATGTCCCTTTGTCATTTTGCGATCCCTCCCGATTAAAATGCTCTCGCGCGAGCGGAACGTGGGCCGAATAATATTTTTCTCTTGTATTCCATTTACGCAGCAAAATGTCGTGGAGCCAATGCAAGTTGATGCTCCTACAGAGGATAATGATAATGCTGAGGAAGAACCGTATATAGTAGAAAACCCGACTCTAGTAAGTGTGAACATTGGTTCAGAATCTGTTATTATCCTAAAAGTTTTATGTGTAAGAATTCAGTCTTCTTCTATGGTTATTGCAAGTTCTTCTTTTTAGGACTTGGAAGTGTACGCTAACAGCTACACTGGGCTCGCAAAACTAAACAGGCTTATATACATTGCCGATCACTGTCCGTCGTTGCGAATAGAAGCGTTGAAGATGGCGATTACTTATGTGATGACTACATACAACGTCGGGCTGTACGTAACGCTGCATAAAAAGCTCGTGGAGGCCATGGGCTATACCTCTGGGTTACCAGACATAGCAGCACAATCGACCTCTCAGGATATGCCGACGCTGGATCAAACATGGGTGGAGACTCGGGCTAAGAAGGCCGCTCTTAAATTAGAGAAGTTTGATACCGATCTGAAGAATTACAAGAGTAACTCTATCAAGGAGAGCATACGAAGGGGTCACGACGATTTGGGAGATCACTACTTGAACTGCGGTGATCTTGTTCACGCTTTAAAATGTTACTCCAGAGCGCGAGATTACTGCACCAGTGGCAAGCACGTTGTGAACATGTGTTTGAACGTGATCAAAGTTTCTGTTTACCTACAAAACTGGTCTCACGTACTTAGTTATGTCACCAAGGCCGAAAGTACGCCAGACTTTCCGGAACTGCACGGTAAAGATAACAATCAGGCGATAGTCACCAAGCTGAAAGTGGCAGCGGGCTTGGCGGAATTGGCGACGAGAAAGTATAAGATGGCCGCGAAACATTTTCTACAAGCATCTTTAGATCATTGCGACTGTCCCGAGCTGCTGTCCCCTGGAAACGTGGCTCTCTACGGGGGCCTTTGTGCTTTAGCCACCTTTGATAGACACGAATTGCAGAAACAAGTTATATTTAGTAGTTCCTTCAAATTATTTCTAGAATTAGAGCCTCAGCTTCGAGATATAATTTTCAAATTTTACGAATCAAAATACGCATCCTGTTTGAAGCTGCTCGACGAGATAAAGGATAATATTCTCTTGGACATGTACATAGCACCTCACGTGAACTTATTATATACGCAAATCCGAAATAGGGCCTTGATACAATACTTTAGTCCTTACCTAAGTGCAGATATGAGACGAATGGCAACTGCGTTCAATAGAACTGTATCCGAATTGGAAGATGAACTCATGCAACTTATTCTCGACGGTCAGATTCAGGCTCGTATAGATTCGCACAACAAGGTGAGGAAGGTTTACTTGATTTAGATAATATATATTTTTTTGTGGAATGTGTATACATTATAAAGTGAGAGTATATATATTTTAACAAATTGTTATAAAATATATGAAACTACTTGCAACAATTGATATATGTACAATTGTTGCAGATTTTGTATGCAAAGGATGTCGACCAACGTAGCACCACTTTTGAAAAGTCCATGAGTGTTGGAAAGGATTATCAGAGGCGTACTCGAATGTTGATCTTACGAGCTGCAATGTTAAAACAGCAAATTCACGTAAAGGTAAACTATAACCGAACAAAGCTTTCTTGCGATTATATTTGTCCATTGTGACGTATGTATCAATTTGTACTTCACTAAGAGAAGTCTGGTTTACGCTTCTATTTAAAAGTATATTGTTTTGTCACGATATAGAGTCCTCAACGCGACAGCACACAAGGAGGTGAAATGTCAGTAGCACCTGGAAATGGCACTTTAGCCGTGAAAAATTGAAGTCGTACGCGCATCGACATCTCGTTTTCGGAAGAAGCAAATTTATACGCGTATCTCGCTTTCGACTGCCACGTCCATCTAGGTATGAAATAAGATTTCACCATCGCATTCGACATTGTGTTATTTCTGCAAAATCAATGATCTGTACCTCATTTTCAACATATAGTATATGGTATTTGTGTATATATACATATATATACATATATATATATTATTGGTATGTTGCCTTGTTTTAAAAGAAAAACAAAGTGACTTTATCTCCAGTATATTGATTATAGAATACAAGAGTGTAACATAGATTAATTCTTCGATTAATTAAACATAAAATAATGGTCTCTTTTGCAACAAAATTATATCGAGAAACCGTAAATCTTAAGTTCCTCTGTACACAAGCGATGTGAATAAACCTAAGACCTTAACATATTCCACAGGGAATTAGAATAATTATAAATAAATTTCTTGTATTACAGTCTCATGCAAACATCTATCATCTTTATATACACTACTAAAAAAAAAAAAGGGAACACTTCATACCCTAAAAATTGGGCTATTTTCAAACCACTGAAACTCGGCGAAAAATAATCGTAGACACAAAATTAAAAAAGCATTTTAAAGCTTGAAGTTTCAACTTTAAAACTGTCAATGATTTATTTTGATATATTCATCTTCCTCGTTCTGTGCTTTAAAAAAGAATACATTGTTTTGTTCCTTAAAATTACGTATTTTTGACACACTGTAGCTCGATAAAAAAATTTCTCTCGACAAATTTGATACAAGTTCCACAATCTACGACATTTTACCTACAAAATGTTTTTTTTAAATTTTCCTACGATTTTTCTTGACCGAGTTACATGACTTTGAAGCGAACCATGCATTTTCTTGAAAAATGATGTTTACCGCCGGTATTAGCGTTACCCAATGTGCACCACGTGGAGGTTGCCGGTCGGATTGTGCACATCACGCGCGCGCGCGTGTGTGTGTGTGTGTGTGTGTGTGTGTGGTGCGTGCGAGCGTTTAGTATTGTGTATTACCTCCTCTCTGATTAATTACCGCTTGTAAACGCTCTCGCATGTTGATGCATCTCTCGATCATGTTTTGCGGAATTTCATACCAAAGTCGAAGCACTTCTCCTAAAGAATCGTCTGTGCACATCTTGCAGTGTTCACAGTGTACAGCGGTAATTAATCAGAGAGGAGGTAATACACAATACTAAACGCTCGTACACAC